ATACAGTTAATGATTATAACTTGATGATATAATTTACTAGCCAGGTTTTTCTATTGTTCATTTTACGCTAGTTTTTAAGACCATTTTATTATTTGGCTTTAATTCATTTTTTCTCCCCTAAGCTTTTCAAGGTTAGGTTATAAATAGAATTAGCTGAAAATCTTTTCAGAAAATGTTTCATTTTGATTTAAAAACATTACATTTTGTAGACATTTTAATGAACTTTTTAACCTTTGATTTTTGTTTTTTTAGGGCCAGCTCTAATTGTGATAGCTTGACTTACTGACTTTCAGAAAATAATTTCACATTGAAGGCATGACTTGATCTGAGGACCAGAATAAAAAATTAGCTTTTAATGAGCATTTTCTGCATATATATATATTGGCCATATTGAACTATATGCACTTTGACTAGTTTTTTTTGCAACTACTGGTCATGAATGTTTCGGTTTGCAAGTCACAAGGTATCAGTATTGAACTTTGACTGGATGACTGGACCACTTTAATAAGCAAGAAAAAAAAGTAATTCCCAATATGACTGATTTGCCAACTGTGTTCACATTTGTATTCACTACAAACCAGCATCTCTGCCAGAAAAGTGCCACCATAGGAATAGAAAATCACCAAGTATCACAAAAATAAACTCAGAAGTATTTAGATAAAGCATTTATCCAACTCTTCTAACCAGCATCTACTGCATTCTCTTCCCCTAACACCAACTACCGTAGTAAACACTGTGCTATCAGCAATAATGCATGTATATTAACTTGCTGTTTCTGCATTACAGTGCTAAACTAGTATTTCTTAGAATAGTCCTTCCTAGTAATTAGGGTATTTTTACAGAACATAGTTCCAGAATTACTAAGCACCTTGATAACTGTCATGCATTTTTCTGTCACAGTACATTTAACAGCAAAATCTCAAGAACCTGCCAAAGAATAATAAAAAACAAAAGAATAGTGTTGATACAGTACAGAACTGCCGTGCCTTGGGGCTGTATGCAAAGTGGATCCTTTTATGCTTCCATCAGACACATAACACACAGTTAATTCTCTGAGTGGATTATGCTTTCCTCAGTATACCACGTCACATACCTAGATTATGCAAACAGATATGTCATAAAATGCCTGAATTATAGCAGTTATTAGAGGTGACAGCTTTACACTAAAGCCTGCCCAGCACAAATATGTCCTTACAACCTTTTAATGAGGTAGAGAACTACAGATCCCATTTTCTTCCTTTTGTGGTTTGGTTGGTTTGTTTGTTTTTTGTTTGGTTGGTTTTTTTAAGATAAGAAAATGCCAGTCACCTCTTATTTTAAAGGTTTTATCTGCTCATACCCCATCTGATATCTTCCTCCATAGAGTAACATTACAATCTCTTTCATCACAAGTGTAGATGTCAGGGCATCACTTAGAGCTGCAGGTGGAAGAATGAAAATTGGGAACAGAGGAGCTCTGAATAAACAAAGATTCTATTTTCATGTTAATGACTTGTCTTAATGAAACAGAGGGTACAAGAATACAAAATACATATGAACTACAAGGAGCTGAATTGTGTCTACACACTGTTTTCTTAGACTTATGCAGTAGGCATCAGCAGATTGCTTTAATGTTCTTCAGGGGTTTAAATTTCTCTGAGGTGGTAGTAGGAGGGGGTGTTGCACAGAGCAGCCAAAAATAAGCAAATAAAAAAGAAAATTCTCTTGGAAACAGATATAAGAACTGCAGCTGTAAAAGACACTACAGCTTCTCTGACAGCATTTGCAGGCAGAGCCTTCTCAAGACTAAAACTAGCAAGCTCAGTGCTGTTAGTCACAAGACTTACGAGTGACCCACAAACTATTTACAAGAACACATGACAGAGTAAAATGACAAGTAAAATATTAGTGAGCCATCAGGAAAATCTTTTTACTGGTTTTTTTTTTCTGATCTTTGCTTTCACCAACCATTTGAATCCATTTAAATGTCTTTAAAGGCTTCCAGATGTTCCTTTCCTGACAAAAGAAGCAGCATTAAGTAAATGAAGCCTCAGAAAGGCCTGATGTCAAAGGTTTTGCTTTGTGTCTTCCTGATCTGTCTCAAGTGTCTTCCTGAAAAGTCCCGGTTTAGATAGTCCTAGAAGCAGTTTGTATTAAAGCAAGTCCTCAGCCTTCCTTAGGTACCAGAATACGGTCCTCATTCTCCACAAATATTATAGTCTTCATTCTCTGCACAATACAGCTGTGTCCTGGTTGTTCCCTTCAAAATCATTTGATTTAGAGAAAGCACCAAGAACAGGAGAGACTATCACCACGTCTGTTTTCCATGGAAAATGGTGACTTCAGGACTTTTTTCTTCACTTTTCATTTCACTATTCATTTCTGCTCTTAAGAATATTTGGAAGAGAGTCTTCTGATTTTTCAGGTTGATTAGACTCTGCATATTTCGACTCCAAAATGTATAATATTTTTTTCAAAAAAACCCAAAGAAACTACAGGGCACTGAGCAAGGCTCTATTGAACTCATATCAGCACTGGCTATAGAGATGTTGCTGTAGAAGTTTGGATTTCAACTGTACATCTACATCCTCTTATATCCCAATTCCCTCTTGCTTTTCTCACATGGGGAGTCAGCAGTGGCCACACTCTGGACGTGCCCTTCGGATTCAGCACTTGAGTGCCTATTTTGTCATCAGGTATTTGGCTGCACAGAAATGGAAATGCATAGGAAAGCCTAGTGTTGCTCTCTGTGGTGCACATGTTTTCTACTATGGATGGTTTTGAGGACAGCCAGTGTCCACGTAATTGCAGCTAACCTTTTCCAAGGTCATGATGATCATAATAAATAAGCTAGAATGAGATGCAACGCTGTCTCCACGAGTTCTATTATTTTTACCTTTGAAAGCAGAAGTATGGTCTAGGCTTATACCAAGGTGTGTTATGCAAGGGACATTTTGTTCAAGGTGAAAATACAGGCTTACAGTTTCATGTTTTGTTTATGGCTGTAGGGAATTAGAAGGTGGTTGGAACATCTTTTCATCTTTTCAACTTACTCTTTGCCTTTGAAGCTCCAAGTCTAAGTTCTCTTATTTGTTAGGTTCTAATAGGCCTTCAAAGTTTGAGCTCCATGGAAAGGAAAAATTATCTTTTTCATTATTATTCTTATTGTGGACATCTATCAGCTCAATTCACAATACAACACTACTCTTAAGTAATGATGGGAAACTTCAAAAGGTTTGGAGTGCAGTACAGGAGACAGGGATCCAGGTACAGGGTCATTCCTTTGAGATCCCTGACCCTCTCCAGTGAGTACAACTTTGTTGGATATCTCAAAGACTGTGTCCCCAGATTTCTAGGACTTTATGCTTTTATTAGCCCAGAAAAAACAAGAGATTTGTGGGGCTGTGTTTGCAGTTGACATTTGGAAACCCTGTTAGGAGTCCTGTAGGAATGCAGTAGGACTGATATAAATATGTATGTGCCTGTCTATACAGATGCTCAGATAAAACCAAGTTTGTGTTAAAAATAGAATTTAGTTTGCAAAAGCTTCAGCTAACACAGGTTCTGACAAAGGATTAAAAAGCAGGAGCAGCAAACAAAATCTCTGGTATATCCTTTGCAGACCAAATACAAATTCAACTTTGGAAGTAAATTTGACCTAGAGTTCTTACTTCTTTTATAAATTAAAAGAAAATATTTGACTGAACCACTCTTGAACCTTGACATGTTCAAAACCCGTGGTTTTGGCATAAACTTACAGTTTAGAAGCTACCACAATGGTCTCATTTTAATCATCTAGTTCAGCTCCTAGAATAATTACTATGGTATGACAGCATGGAGGTGTTTCAGATATGTATTTTATTGCAAGCGTGGTTACAGAGCTTTACACTAGATTTGCAAATCATTGCTATGAAAAGCAAAAGCAAAGATAACTGCCTACAATCAGAATCAGGAGAAAAGAATCAGTACACCAGAGTCGCTGTGTAAACCTGTGATGACTAAGACTGAAGATGAGACTCAAAATACAAAGAAATTTGCTAATGGTGCAGAACTGCAAAATAAAGTTTGGACCTACATCCAGGGGTTATTTTTCAGTGGTTGTGGCCACTACAGGTGTTTGAATCAGAAATCAAATCATCCATTATGGACACCCCATATATTAAAAATTGTTGAGATGTTAAGATTCTATCAAAACCACGTCGGTTATGGCCCTAAGTGAATTTAGATATGAATGTTATAGCATAAGTTAATGCAGCAAATTGTTAAGCTTGCATCAGTGACAAAGAGCCATGATACTTCTTTAAGGTAACTTTGGCATCAAACTTGCAAATATTTTGCCATTGCTGTAATTGACTGACATTCAAAGATTCAGCAAGAGGAACTTACACATGGCTGATACATACAGCCTGAAATCTGACTGAAAATCTTGCAGTGCTGCTTAGAAGCAATACTGCAGAGTGATTTAAGCTCATAATGAAGAACTGTGTGTGCCTGGTTCAGTGGTCATTAATTTGCTCACTTTCAAGGACTGAAGTATGTCTAGCAGCAGTTAAAAGCATAACACCAGCCACTGGAGGATGTTGATTGTTACCCATGGCAGAAATGCTAGTATCCTCAAAGACTCCAAGACTTCACTCTTTGGCCCTTACTGGTAGCAGGACAAGATTAATATCTTTTTTGAATTTAGTGCAAAAGCAAACAAGCTTATGCTGAACAGTTACATTCCAACTCAAAATGTTCACAGGAAATTGCAGGACTCTCCCCTCCCAAATCAATGCTTTCTTCAGGCTATTCAGTATATATCAGTGTTGCATCATCTTTAGATCAAAGACCCCATTTTCAAGTGCTGTATAAACACATAACAGGAGGCATAATGCCCCTTTCCTACCAGTTCTAAATTAATCTCAACAAATCAGCAGTGCAGATTGCATTCCGTCACATTGCCCTCAAGCCCCTTTTTCAACATCTCCGCATATGGGGAAACTGTGTCTCGGAACCGAGGAAGAGGTTTTTGCTCTTACCAGTAGAACCTGTTTGGTGCAACTCCCTCATGAAGAAGCAGCCATCTTCTGCCAAACTCCACTGAACTGAACAACTGGGGACAAAAACAAACAGTCATGAATCACATTAAAAGACAAAGATAACATAGAAATTAATCTGAAGAAGCCTGTATCACTTCTGAGATAGTGACTTGGACTTTTACTTCCTCCAGTCTCAGAGGGACACAACTGGAGCAGCTGAAGTGTCTGTTGTGCCTTTTAGTGGCAGAGGCAATGCTGAGATGGGTGACATGGGACACAACTGATATTACCTGAGGGATTACTGTATAGGTACATCCAACTACCTGCCATGACTGAAAACTCATCATCTAGCTCTGCATGGCACTCCCAGGTAATATAATTGTGCAGTGTGGGAAGGCCACCTTTTCCTTTTTAAACTTGTGGTGGACACCAAATGTACAGCGTAACACATCAGTTTGATATCCTAGTCTAGCTCTGACAACATATATACACAGTTGCCTTCCTTGATATTAGGTTAGAAGACCATCCTATTTCCAGTTATCAGTAGCCATCCCTAGAGAGCTTGTTTAATCTGGCACTAAAAAAGTGCTCTAACATGTCTACACTCCTCTTGCAGGAATGAGTTTAAATAGCACATTACTTGTACCATGAAAATCCACTATTCTCCCTTTGCTCCTGTCCTGCAAACAACGTGACATCTTCTCCTAGTCCGGTTACACAAACAATATCCAAATATATCAATTATTTCAGAAAATTTTTCCATGATAAATACCAAACCAGACTGAGAAAGGTCAGCAAAAAGGCATATTACAGGTATTATAAATACTCTGACATGTCTTTGTGGAATGATATACAAATGTTACTGGTATAGAGCACCTATAAACAGCTGCTGTCCATAAATGCTGCCATCGGGTAACTCTCAAAAAGACAGTGGAGAGAAGGATCACTTGGGTTCTGTCTTTCTTTTGCTTTATTTAACTTCAAATTTATGATATGGAAGCACTGAGAGGCAGTCAGCCCTATGCTTTTCTTGCAGATTCATCCAATTTCTCCTCCTTCCCTTGCTTGGTAGACTTGGTCAGTCCCCTTTTCTGGAAAGGAAGATGTTGGGCCCCTTTTCTGAACTGTAATCTGCCTTTTCATGTCATCACTTTAGGGATCTTGTATAAAATTCAAGCAATCTGAATCTTTTATGTACAAAGCTTGACAATCTTTTTTTTTTTTTTTTTTGGGTAACAAGCTGTGGATTGGCACGGAAGAGAAATATGGATGCCTATGAGAATGACTGAAAAGGAAAGAAGCTGATTTTAAAGCTTCAGGTTGATCAGAAAGATTATTTGAATATATTTTAAGTATTATGAGACTGGCATGTAAGAAACCTTGAGACCTACTTATTCTGCATTACATTCCCAATGCAAACCCCTACATCCCTCAGCTCCCCTACTGTAAAACCTTGGAAGGACATGGAGAAGTTAATTACAATAGCTTTTTGGTAAACAGTAGACTGGCATATGTTGAAATCTACTTTAAAATATGAAAGCTAAAAATTCCCCTATTTTTCTCCTCTCCCTTTCCCTTGAAGACTGTCAAAGAAGAAAGAGGAAAGAAGGCAGAAGGGATAGAAGACGAGTGCAAGAAAACAAAAAACAGTTTAGCTTTGTGGATAGAAATGTATTCACTTTTCAAGCTTCAATGGTAAGTCTGTTATTTTTCTTTAAGTAGAAGATTTTTTTTTTTTTTAATCTTTAGGAGACCTAACTATAACTAAGAACAAGTTTCATTTTTTAAAAATAAAGAAAATCTTTTGGAACATTTAACAATGACTTTTTACAAAATGCTTTGAGGTCACCTCATCAAGAATTTTACCATTACAAGAAGAATTTTCTCCCTTCAATTCAAAATCAATTTCTAGACCTGCTTTTATATTTGCATCAAAAAAACCACCCCATAGTAATGACAAGCAACTGTGAATCTAGCTCTCCAATATGTTTTCCCCATCGTGGCAATGTAGTTTCTTCCATGCCAAATAATGTCTTTGACCTGCAGTAACTTAAGTTTTAATAAAGTTTGGATCATCCTTTAATTAAAAACAGAGAGCAATCCAAACAACTCAGCAAACATATATATTCCTAACCAGGGATATACAGAATGTAAGCTTTCCAGGGACATGGATATTCAGATGGCTGAAAAAATCTTGTCTTCCCCCTTTTGTATCTCTCACCCTACTCCCTTTCTAGTTTCCCCGAGCATAACTTTCAGCAGTTTATCCCCACCCCGAATTTGCTGGTGATAGCTTCCAGAATGAATTAATTACAGCCTGCAAAACTTTCTCTGTGCTTGTATAGCATCCTCTTCCACAGCTGCAGTGCCAGGTGGTTGAACAGCCCCAGCGCCACAGCTTCCCTCTGGCTCTTTCAGCACAGCTCCTCAGCGTGGCTGTTTGCCTGCTGCATCCAACAACTCCCTCAGCAGAACAGAAGCTGTGATGCTGCACAGCACCCAGGGAGCCCTGCTTTCTCTTGGTGTGTGCCCTGAATGAGACAGATGATTCAGGCAAAAAGTGAAGAAATGCAAGAGTTTGTTTCAAAGGGAGAAAATGGATATAGCAATTCCACTGTCAGGACTGGCCTCTCAAATTAGAAGCCAGTGCCCTGTGAGCAGCACTACTGAGAACACAGCGTATGAGAAAAGGCAACAGCTCTCAGCAGGAACTATCAGCTCCCTGGGAACCCATGCCCAAAGCTCTCATTGCCGTTGGTGAGACACTGTAATAACAAGGCTTTAGAAGGTTTTTTTCTCCTTTGCCATTATTTCAGCACCAATCTTGGCCTTTACTGACTCACAGCAGCACAAACAGCACTAATGCATCTTTAGTAAAGAAGGAATTCCCCCCCTTATGTGTCACACCCCACCCTCCCAAAAAAAAGAGGAAAAAACCCCAACCATCTTTGCAGTGAGGATTTTTTCAGATATTCGAAGTATCATTCATTTTAGACTGAGTTTATTTAATTGTATATGAGGAAAAAAATAACATTTAGAGATAGGTTTTTGTCAAGTATCAGTTATGATACAAGCTGAGATTATTTTTCCCCATTTAGCAAGTATAGTACTGTATGGATATTTTTTAAACCCAGCATCATATTTTGTTGTTATAAAAGCCCTCTCTCTCCTGGGACTTCTTGTGACAGACTCGTGCATGCAGTCCCTTCAGAGATGACATTTCATTTTCTTTGGTAAGCACTGCTGTCTGATGACAATTTTCATTATTAGACTGAAATTAGATAACGTTCCTTGCTATACTTCTTTTTCAACCACAAATAGTAAAGAAACCTATTACAATTTCAATGTATGTTTTCATCTGAGAGCCAAGTAGTGACCTGACATTTCTGTTTTCACTGAGACAAAACTGTTATGAAGTACAAATCTTGTATTGATCTCTCAGATTTGACCATTGTTCATCCAGGAAGAAGTCTCTTCTTGCTTCCTCCTCTCTTGTATATGTATTTTTCTGATACCCAAGTACTTAACAATCATTAACAGTCTTGTTTTGCTTTTTAAAATCCTAATATTCTGTCAAGTAGAAACCTACCACCAACCTCTTTCAGATGGGAAAACAGCAATGCAAGGGAAAAGGAAAAGCTGTCCCAAGGATACAAATACCTTCTGGGGCTGAGCAGGGATTCAAATAAACCCTCTGAACTGCAAGACAATCCCCCAGCTATAGAAATAGCCTTTTCACAACATGACACTACTATCCTCTGGAGTAGGGAAAGCTGACGTCTGAAAACTGAACTTCTTTCCTTATCTACAGCAAACAATATCTGTATGCTACTCAGCCTGTCTGTTATTTGTTTCCCAACCTGTGCGAGAAGCACAAGAGTTGCTCATGTATTTCACAGTGATAGCATAAGCTTCACCTTAAAATGCTTTGGGATATCTGGGCAACAGCAGGACACAGTTGCCAGGTAATCTTATCTCTCCCTTCTCATTTCCCATTCTTTCCAGCACTAATTTTAGACTTGAGGATTTTTTTTGCATTTTGGCCTATATTAATTGGTAACATCTTCAATTTAAGACAGACAAAATATTCTTAAACTTTTTTTAAAAATATTGTTTATGAACTAAGGATAACTTTTCTATAATCTAATGAAAATGTCGAAGAAAAATAACATCTCTTAGTGACATTTGTATTTAAAAAAATAAAGCATTTCATGAAGAAGAAGCAGCTGTGTGTATAAATTCTTAGTGAAAGTAAAATATGTAACAGAAATTAGTCAAACCTGATTGGTTTATTTACTTCAGTTTGACAGTTTGCCTATAAAAAATAACTGAATTCCAGAAAACATATGGGAAAAAAAATGTTTTTTCCAAAATGTTCCATGAAGAAAACTTGAATTTTATTTGACTTAACTGATCTAGGCTAGAACATCAGTTCTAGAAGGGAAAGTGCAGACTAAGGAAGAGGGGAAAAAAGCATTTTTCTTCACTACATTCTCTACATTTTTCTTTACTTCAGATCTGGGAAATCTCTCCAAAGCAGAAAGCTCTGAAGATATTAACTTGTTTTGCCAATTACCAGGCCTAGCATAAAGGACACAGCCAGCATAAAGATGAACCAATAACCAAACTGTATTTGATACAAAAGGGTCAGTACATGGGTGAGCCCTGGGGGTACAAACAAATCAATCAGATTATACATAATCGACATCAATCCCACTGACCCCAACAACAACACCACACAACCAACAATGGGTGGAATAAATGGTGACATGCAGTCTCCCATAGAAGGGATGGGAGACAACCAAGTCAACAAACCAAACACATAAGACCAAGGCAGCCACATACTGAATCTCTACACAGCCCACGTTTACAAAAGCCAGACCTGACTGGAGCCCAGTCCCAGGGAGGCAGGAGGTCCTTCCCCAACAGGGAACTCTGCACAGGGCATCCACCTCACAGACAGACACTGCCCCTGCCTGCAAGGGGTCCCAGCTGTTATTCCCAAGTGGGACACCTGGCCTTGGGTTACTGAATGCAGACCCCTGGGGTCATTTACCCAATGGCTCTGTCTGCA